ATTGTTGGTCCAAATGTAAGAAAGACATTTCTATTCTAAGTGCTCTTTCTTGAGTGTGCGGCAGCAACTTATCCGCTAAAGTCCGCCGCCGTGCTTTTGTTTGGAAAAGCGCTTCTGCAAGACTGGTGTTTTTTTTGCTTAGCCCTGGGTGCAAGGAAGCCCCACAGCCACGGCAACAATCAACAAAAAAGTTTTCTGCAAAGACCGGCGGTGTTGTTTTTTTTGCTTAGCTCTGGCCGAGAGAGACAGCCATGGCTTAGCAAAAAGTTCTTCGAAAATTTGCGCGGCCACGGCAAAGCAAGTTTTGAAAAATTGTTTCTGCAAGACTGATCAAAAATGCATTCTCTTGCTGCGCTTATGGCTCGACCCATCACACCCTGTCGCAGGCAAGCAACGTCATCTACGGTTAATTTTGCCTTGGCGTTGTTGTTGTGTTTATTTTTTTTCCTGTGGTTTGTTCTGCATTATGTGGTTTTCTTGTCTGGGGCTTATGCGGTTTCGGCTTTTTGGCGTCATATATGCTACCTGTAACTTTCTTTTGACCAAAAGAAAGCAATTGGAAACAATAAGTTTGCTTTTTGGAATGTGTAACTGCAATTTTATTTGCAATCGCAAAGCGCCTCATAGTTATGTTAACATGAATTTTTGTTTGGAGATGTGACATTTTGTGTTTTGGTAGCTTTGTCGTCGTATAAATGGTCGCAGTTTTTTTTTTGGGGGGACTCGTGTTGCTAACTGTTAACATCTCCTGCTGATTTTTTGGCTTCTTTTGATGAGTTTTGGAGGGGGTCCCAAAGGGTCCCAAGAGAGGTTGCAGGGGAGTCCAAATTCCAGGCATCCCAAGAGGGTTCCAGAGGTCCCAGAAGGGTCCCAGAAAAGGACCCAGGCGGTGCGGCGCCAGAACCCGCTGCGCCTACTTGGTGACTAAGCCGAAAAACCAACTTATCCCATTTGCGGAACCACTCCCAAAACTCAAATAGTAAGTGGAAGACATCGTTCACTTATTGCGACCAGTGTTGGCTGCTGTAAGCCAGTTGTGCTGTACTTGTGTAAGTGCCATCATCAGTATTGCAATCACTTAGTAAGTACCGCAAGCACTTATAAGCAGAGCGATCCTCCAAGTAGGAGCAGTCGTAGTAACAGTAGCACTCTCCCGTGCACGGCTTGGCTCCGGCATCCAAGTGAAAGTTTTCCGGTGAGTAAAGCAGGAGAGTGCTTGCAGCCCGATTTTGCCGTTAGCAAAAAAGTCGAAGTAAGGCTCGTCGCGATTTATGACGAAGTTTAAATTCTTGCAGCGGGCGGTCCAGATGGCCGTTTGCGTGAAGAGTGCAGGGCGTTGAGTTAATGTTTTCACCCGCAGAGTCGAGGTGATGTTCCAGTCGGCTTTGGCCAACAAGCCCCATTCAGCTCAGCAAAAGGGCAAAAGAGGGAGAAGGGAAGCGGAAGAGGAACAGGGAAAGGGAAAGGGAAGAGCGACGACGAGCGACGACGAGCGACGACGAGCGACGACGAGCGACGACAAGCGACGACGAGCGACGACGAGCGACGACGAGCGAGGCTCGCTGCTCGGCGTCGCCCGGCGTCGCCCGGCGTCACCCGGTGACGCCGAGCGACTTTCGGCGTCGCCTGGCGTCGCTCGGCGTCGCCCGGTGTCGCTCAGCGTCGCTCGGTTGCGTGGCGGCGCTCGGCGTTGCTCGGCGTCGCTCGGCGGCGCTCCGCGCTCGACGTTGCTCGGCATTCGGCGTCGCTCGATGCTGCGCTGTGTTGCTCGTCGCTCGGTGTCGTTCAGCGCTCGGCGCGTTTCTCGGCGCTCGGCGTCTCTCGACATAGTATTTAATTTGAGCGCAATTGGATATTTAGGGTTTCAGCTTCAGGAATCCCGAAAGCCGTACAAATTCAGCCTCAAGTGTGCACTCTTAAAGTACCAGGATCCTCGGGCTGCAAACAGCTAGTGACCCAGTTTGGAAAGATATGGCGATAGTGGGAAACCCCAAAAGGTTCGCCACATGTTTGCGACGACGGACTGGAGCTACACTCCAGTCAGGTAGAATAGTTCCAGCTCCACCGGCTCCCCGAAGCTTGAGTTGTGAACTCGACCACAAAGCATCTGGGAAGAAATCCTGATCGAAGTTGCAATATTCCACATCTCAGCTCGTGATGCCGCCAGCAGCTGCAATGTCCGCTCGGATGAAGCTAAGACTGCCAATCCCGAGAAAGTGCCCTGAAAAGATGTTGCGTTCTGCACACAAGTATTGGCCCAGCATTTTCATGTCGCATGCTGCGACAAAGCGGTCCGTGCCCCGGCGTTGAAAGCTGCAATGGCCACTTGAGTCATCCGTTCCAAACTGGGAGCAAAGAACTGAGAGTACTTTTTCTGCGACGATGAACGAAATGTATCGAAGAGCATGTCATAATCTCATTTCATGAATGGTGGGTGAAATTGTCGAATATGGATGCCAACTCCGGAGACAGCTGAACGGAAGGGTCGTCTAGAGCCCCCTGCGAAGTCCAAAAACAACTTGTCGTGAGCTGTTGACGTGTGAGTACACACAGCTGGAGAAATATGAAACGATAGGGACAAATAGTATTATGCGTCGGTTCCGGACCTGGGATTCATATACTGTAATGTGGATGCATGCCGAGCAGAGCCTGCATGGGGTCTAAAGCAAATTTGGCTCGAAATCCAAACTGTAACTTTCGATTGCCTACTAGGATTGTGAAAGGTGACACTTTGAGACAAACTTCACATCAAAGATGCTAGGCCTGGCTGCTAGGCACAGTTTTCGCGTGAATCGTTGTGCTTTGTTTTTCGTTGTTTGCTTTGTTGCCATTTGGCTGAGGGCCCTGGCCGGCAGGACACGTCCGCGTCTGCCGGCCTGTAGGAGCGGACAAGGAGGCTACTAGCAGCATTGCAGCGCGGCGATGGTACGAGGCCTTGCAGACGAACACATGTCATTCGTTTCCACGGAATGACACACTTGCATTCCCTGAAGTGCCTGCTCTTCGTGCAGCGCTGGCACTCTTATTTGCCGCGAGCCAGCGCCGTGTGCGGGCAGGCTGGTTGCGCATGTCGCTGTTGTTTCCCGGGTGAACATATTGCAATGCTCTTTAAGGCAAAGACACCCACACCTACACGGCCGGAGAAGATGTTGTCGTATGGACAGACAAAGTGGGCCCGTACAACAACCCGCAGGCTGTCCAGCGATTACCGGCTTGTTTGGATTCATTTGATTGTGGTGATGTGCTCCCTTCACCTAGATATCAAGCCCCTCCTCCCCTCGTCGTGTTTTTCAGCATGTGTTTTGAAACAGAGCCAAACGTTAAACACGGTCTTGACGTGTGGTATCCTGGTTTTCATGTGGCTCACCAAAAGTCCGCCTTTTACCTCCAAAATACCAGACATTTGCCGCCGATATGCCACAAATTTTGCCTCGGCAGGCTGTGCTGCATTACTGTTCCAGAAAAAGCTGATTATTGAATTAGCATGTACACAATCTGCATCAGGATTTGAAACTTGCACTTGAAAATGCACACGATGGAAGCATACTTCCTGGACCCTACAACACTTTTGCCTTTAACAAGTTCACGTGAAAGACCAAACGTGGATCTTTGGCAGTTGCTTTCGTGCTCAGTCTTCTGCAAACTGTAATTGGTGCAGCTGCAACTGCCTTTCATGGCTGAGCTGCCGGAGGGTCGAGAAGGTATGGTTGTGGAGAAGTTCCGTTGAAGCACGCTTGTTTTGCATTGTTACAGTGAGTAATGAGGCTGTGTTCACATGTTGTTTCAAGCGCCCCGGATGCACATGTTGCAGATCAGTGCAGGAGACTTACGAGTACAGTACCCTGGGCCTTTGTGAGCTGGAAGGCCGAAGTCTGTACAGCATATTCAGATATGGCTGCCACACATTTCTTCAGAACACAGAGTTCCAGATCTAGATGCAGGTTTCTCGTTTTTTCCAAGCAGGGTCGACAGAATTCACTGCATTGACACACGCGCAAGTAATAACGATGTTTCGATCACAGCAGAAGCTTGTGAAGCCGGGTTGCAGTCGCACTGTTCGAGCTCAAAGGTGAGGATATAGCTGTGGAACAGGGTGAGTCCTGGCCTCGGCGGATGTGCTTCCATGGATGCCTCTTGGTCCTCTTCTTCGTTTGGCAATTGACGTTTTTGAGGCTTTCCATCGGTGAGACTCTCGAAGGCCATGCCTTTTACTCCTCACCTCGGTCATCCTGCAGCATTGGAAGCATTTCGGTTTGAGGCTGCACCTAAGCTTGCAGGGTACGCTGATTGAATCGCGACGCATTGTGGCCACAATCTCAGGTTGGATATTCATTTCGGGCAGAACAAAGCCCACACCCAGCTTTGCAGCATGGTTTTGACTGAAGAGAAGGCGAAGGTGCCCCGGCCTTTGCCCCCCATGCCCCATTGCTCTAATTGCTCCCATTGCTCCGGTTGTTTTTGCTTCCTCAGGCCCTCGCAGGCATGATCAACGACAATTACTGGTCAGCTCCCAACATGTTGGGGACTTTTAAAAGTGTAGACGACCAGCGCTATGTCTTTTACATTTACAGCAACAGGTACCAAATCTACATTGACGATTTGCCCATATGGGCGTTCGTTGGCGAGCACTCCAAGTTCGCACTAGATGTCAGCATGGGCCTGGGTTGGAACATGTTGGAACATGCACATCCCATGAAAATAGATACAGTAGATTCGGCGTGCTGAAGGTCGGTTCTCCATGATGTACCGGGACAACAACAGGTCACTACAGCTGCCGTCTTCGGGTTCGGGAGCTGCCCCACCGGTCCCCAAACACTTGAAGGCAGAACTGGCTTGATGATGCTGAAAAAGCATGTTTTCTGAAAGTGCCGACGCTGCAGGGTAAACCCCTTCCTCGCATCTACACTCATCGCCACTTCACACTCTTCTACAACAACGATCAAATCATCGAGGTCGGCTGTCGAAGCGAGATATTCTTGGAAGAAGTGTTGTGCTCCAAGTTCCTCAGGTAGACATGGAGCCATCCTCACCATGGCCAATTTATGGTGGTGCGCCACTGAACTTGTCCTACACCGTCCAATGGTTTCCGACCAGCAACGAGTTCAAGGCAGGGAATGTCACTTGTTGCCCGAAGCTAGCGGCAATGCACTCCTCCGAAGCCAGGGCAGCAAGTAGTGCGTAGTTTCGTGCAGTAATCACCCCCTGAAATAAAAATCAAAAACCGGCTCAATTTCAAGTGTTCTTCTGATGATCGTGAATTGTCTGTCGTTACCTGGTCTCTTATCAGTGCGGTTGTTTGCTTGTATTCACGTTTGCGTTCTTGAGACCGTCTTGGCGTCCCGAGACAATCAATGCAGCTGGACTTGCCTGCAGGACAGGACCAACCGATACCTGGATCCAAAGTTTTTCGAGCACAAGGCCATGAGCTGTCAGTATGTTCCTCTTGGAGTCTCATGTTCTCCGGCACAGGTGCATTGGTTCTCCATTGTAAATTCCTTCATGCTCTGCCTGTTTTTGTGCGCGGTGGTCGCGATCATCTTGATGAAGACGCTGAAGCCGGAGCCTTTGTCTTTCAGAACGTCGAGAGGAAGAGAGAAGAAGAGAAAATCAGAGTCCCTGGGAAGGCGCGACTTCACGCGGTACTCGGCCAGCGAGGCTGAAGAGCTGGAAAACTTAGATGGGGTCGGCTCGTACCTCAGATGGGCCGTTAAGGAGTTGCGCGCATAGCATCGCAGAGCCACGCATGCTCTAAGGGTAGTTATATGGGGTATTTTATTTATGTTAGGGTTTACAAGGGGTCCCTTGGTAAGGGCCCATACTAAGGGACCATGTAACAACCCTAAGACATGCGCTTTTCCTGCACTCCTACTATCAGCAGAGCACTTTCGCAACTTGAGGAGATGAGAGCGGGTGGAAGCAGGTGAATGGAGACGTGTTCCGAAAGCCAGATCATCTGGCAATTTTCACCGTGGTGTATGCTTCGGGATGCCATCTGGCTTGCACAGTCTTCATTGTCCTGATCTTCGCGATATGCAATTCGCATCTTGCCTGCTTTAAAGAGGCACACTTCTGAAGTATCATTGGATGCAACAACTCTTTGCAGGTATTACGCATCACGCGGAGCTACTGCAGGATCCTTCGTCATAGCGTACCTGTGTACAGTTATAGCCGGCTTCCAAGGGCACCTGTTCAGAAGCTCTTGGAAGTTGTTGATCAGTTGTTTCTGTTCTGAGGTTGGCGGGTATGAAGGTGGAAGAATATTCCGCATGTTTGGAGGCCAGCACTGGAAAAGGACCGTGCAAGCAAGCGCATAGGTTCAGTTTCGACAATGCCTTCTCGGCTAATGAAGTTTGTTGGCGCTGAAGGACGATGGTCTACCAATGCTTATTCATGCCCGGCATTGCCAAGTACTGAGACTGCAGCCTTTGTTGCACGGTTTGCATGCTTGTTCTGTGACATTTTTGATTTGTCCACGTGGCATGGTGCAGGAACTGTGGGGCCAGTGCAGGAGAACAAGAAAAGACCCCTCACCCTCTCCCCGAACTTTTGGTTGTTTTGCTATGTTTGTTCGCACGGTTCTAAGAGTAAGATACTTTTCTTATTTTACTGCAGATACTTTGCTATGGCGACAATAATTTGTTTTAGCTTAAAGTTTCGGACGTTTTGGCCGTTATTAGTACAGTGGTACTGCTACTACGTTCGCGTGGCCAGGCCCCTTGTTTTTCTGGGACTTAGCTAGGGGGTGGCACTGTTCGTGTGGCCAAGGCACTAAGACAGTCCGCAGCGCTCCGTTACAGTGGTTCAGTGTCGGTTCAGACACCCCTCCGAGATATAGGTCCGGACCTATTGCCGGATGTCCCGGAAACAGGCCGACTTTGTTGGGGGGTCCCCTCCGCCCATGTTCACATTCGATGAGGCCTTCATTAGTTTCGTCGTCATCAACACGACAGCCATCTTCTACAGAGCCACGATGATAGTGCCTCGGTTGCAGATCTCAACGCAGCGGGCCATGCACGTGTCAGTCAGCGCCATGCCATACGCCAGGTGCCTTTCAAGACAATCTTCATTATCCTGGTCCTGTTCCTGGCTGTTTGCGTACCCCTGCACACCGCCTGCCACCTAAGAATCTGTATTCAGTCAGAGTCTCTGTGGAACTCGCGTTGCGTCTTGTCGCGTTATCTGAGGTTGGAACACTTCTTGGGCGGCGAGCTGCTGCAGAGCGCTCCTTCCCTTGCCGTGTGCACCATCTGAAGAGGTGCTGCACTCAAGAGCCTTACACGGCTGATCATGGCTGATCATGGCTGGTGTGGCGTGGCCATGGCATTTCATGTCGGGTATGCAGTGGCACTTTTTTTGCCTTGTGTGATGGCAGATGACATCGTATTGCTGCTACGACATGACGATGTGCATTGAACAAATGCATGTTGTGTTGCGGTGTCAACTTCGTGAGCACATGCTCACGCGGAGGGCATCAGCCGAAAGTTGTTCTACTTCTTTTGTGTTTTCTTTGCGTCCTTCAAGCAGACTTGGCCGACCTCGGGCAATCTCAGTTTTCCGCTGTTGCGATGTTGTTTTCCTCGCAGTCGCTGTTCGGCTTCTTCTTGCTGCAGGCTCGTTCCACTTGAAACATTCCGCGTTACCCGGATTTGCTGTGATGTGGTGTCTGTGCGGGCAGTTTCCCGAGCTGCAGTCGGCTCCTGCCATTGATATGTTTCCTGCATGGCCGGGTGTGTTGAAGGTACATGTCATTTACGAGATTCCGAGCAGAGGAACCGTGTACTTTTGCTAGAATGAAGGAATCTAACAGAACGTTAAAGGCGACCTCCGGCCGGGGAGATGGACCACAGAAAGCAGCCATCCTTGAACTTGGACGTGCAGGGCCAATCGCCGGAGCAACAGCGGTCAGCACTTGTGACTCGATGAAAGGTCACGAGGGTGACCAGCTGGGCATGCGCTGTCAACAAGAAAACAATCAAGTCACACCACAGCAAGGAAGTTCGACAGCGCACAAACAGGTCATAAGGGATCAATCAGCACGCTTTGCAACGAGCCAGGGCCTTCCTCTCACAAAGCTAGCATCTCATTCCCCAAAGCTGCAGTCAGCCCGAGGAGTTGTGAGTATCGAGCGCTTTCCAGCTCATGTGATGGAAGCGAAAACCCTACCATACCCTACCACATGTAATGGTCCGTCAGGGCATGTCAGGGCTGCCAGGGCTGCCACACTTCCTTGCAGTCCTTTTGGTGCTTGGGACGTGCATGTCATGTCCCGTCTTGCCCATTCAGGCCCATTCCAACAAAGCATTGGGCTTTCACGCCCATCATGACGATGGTTGCAGGACGGCTGCGCATGTGCGTAAACATTCTTTGAAGAAAGCCAGCCTTGAAAGGAATTGTGCCCTTTGGCTGCCTCTTCATCGAGATGTATTTCATTCTGTCTGCAGTTTGGAGCCACAACAAGATCTACTATGTCTATGGCTTCATGTTTGCGATTTTGATATTGCTTTGTCTGGTTATCGTGTGCGTCAGCATTACCTGCACCTACATCCTCCTCAACGCGGAGGATTACAGATGGCAGTGGCAATCGTACATCAGTTGCGCAGCCACAGCGCTGTACGTTTTCGCATACACGATTCATTACTTCTACAACTCTACTCAGATGTCTCGCACTCATTTGACTGTGGCTTCGTGTTCCGCAACGCAATGAATCAGCGTGGTGAAGTTGCCTACACAATCTTTTGGGTGCATGCTAAGGTCTGGCTTCCTGCAGACGGTGTACTACTTTGGTACATCGCTGAACTTCTGTATTGGTCTTTCTTTGTTTTGTGGCTCACTGGGCTTTATTGGCGCCTCCAAGTTTGTATTCCTCATATACAGCAACATCAAAGCGGAATGATGCGATGGGGCATCTGAGGGCACATGACCCGTTCTCTGCGTCACCGTAGCCGGCGCAAACCCACAGTTCCAATGCCTTACTTGAAACGATGAGTGGCATGATCTGTGAGGTTCTAAGTGAAGGCTGACCTGGCGTCGGCGAAAAAAGTACTGGCACTGGTAGTAATTGGCCTCCTTTGCGTGCTGTGTTGCGTAGTTCGATGTGCAGGTCTCACTGGTCGTCTTACATACGCAGCTTGAGTAGGACGTGTTGGCTGCAGCCGCTATGGCATCAAGATCGAGCCACCTGCCGTCATCTGCCACTGCCGATGTGCCCCACGTGAAGGAGCATTTCCACTGTCCACAACTCCACAACGGTCCAAGCATCGTGTGCTTGAACTTTTCGAGGCGCCTTGATGACAGATCTGGGATCGTCCAAAACTGGGACGAGCAGATCTGTCGAGATCTGGCATTATCGAATGTTCGTTTTCTCTGCCACTGCCACGCACCTCGGCCATGTTGTTTCAATCATGGTGCAGTGAAGGCTGCTGATTTCTGTGCAGGCTCTCCTTAGCAGTGGAGATTTCCTACACCAAGCTGGCCAGATCCGAAGCTGTTAGTGAGGATTCATGCCCCCCCCCCCCCCAACGTTTCAAGAGAGCCTTTACTTGCCAACGAAGGTTCCAAAGATTCCCCAGCTTTATGCAGCTCTCATACGTACCTTGGCTCAACTGGCCTGCACACTTTTCCTTGAGGTGGCTGTGACCCTTAGCCTTTGTCGTTTGCCTTAGCTGTGGAACCCTCGTTTCTTGAGTATTCTGCTTGCTTTGTACGACAAAGCAATTGTGGCAGTCTTCGTGTTGTGTGGCTTTGATGTGCGAGGAGCACCTGCCGATGAAAATGTCGGCCCAAGCTTGCACGCACACACACACGCAGAGACACACATGAAGCTGACTCTTTCGCGTATGCTTTGTTTTCACAAAGTGCATGCAGATGGCAGCGGTTGGGTCGAATCTGGCCGATTTTGTGTCAACAACTTGGGGGAAGGGTGGCCTGGTCAACCACCTGTACCTGCGAAGGTTTGCTTGTGACTTCCTTATCATACAAGCATATACAAGCCATATATGATTCTTCGATCCTGTGTTCTCCTCGCGACGAAAAGTTTTTTTCTCCCCGTGAAGACATCATTCGCAAATTGGACGGCGTTTGATGTGATGTCGCTCGGTATGTGTTTTATGTCCCTTGGGATGCACGTGGCCTGGAGAGAAGCAAGTCAAATCAGCAGAATTCTGCATTGCAAATGTGCTGAGTGCTCGATTTTGACCATGGAATGCATCTGCGACCTAGGCCTAGGCGAAAGCGTGATTTGGAACGATGCGAAAACTTTGGATCTCCTATGCCGCCCCGAAAGACAAACCAATTCCTAATCATCATCCGGGCCCTTTGCCTTGTTCATTAGTTGCCTTGTTTGCATAAATTGGTTGCCTCTGTCCTGACACACCGGACAAGCGGTTGTTTTCTGTATTCTTCTGTGCTGCTAAGCAGACGTCACCGCAGCAGCAACCCCTGTAAGCTTCAACATGCTTGGAGGCGCGGGTTTTGGGGGTCAGGTTCAAGGCCACGCTGCAAAGCAGCCTTATCCTGCTGTCAGGCAGCTGCCCATCTTGAAGCAAGGAACTGGGGCTTTGCCAACTTGAACCGAAGCTCTCCGACCCCTCGTGCCCCACGAGCAAGCACGTCAGTGCACAACAATAATTGCTTGTGACCAAACCGAAGCCGATTTCCGAAATCCGATTTTTGCATTTCTCAGTCACTTGGTCGCCCAGCTTGGTGGATGTTGAAACTGGTGTTGCAGTTTTTGCAGGCTGCCAAGCACGTCCAGAGTATGCGAGCATGGACGTGTGAGCAATGTGTTTCATGAGCGTCTGCTGGACGTACTTAGTTACTTGCGCTGCCGAACCGTTGTCTCTGAGGTGCTGCTGTTTGGGATTGTGTGCTGGTCGGCGTGATCGTCGCACAATTGATAGATTTGGCTTCGATTCCTTTGCTTGTTGCAAGCACAGCTTTTTTGGAATCCGGAAATCTTAGCCATCATTTCAATTGCACAATTGCAGAGCAAGCTTGAGGCTGGGATCGACAGTAGCCGCTATTTGCCGTTGGCGGTTCTCCTGTACCATGCAATCGCTTTTGCCTTTTGTGGCAGCTACGACTTGCTCAGTGATGGCCTTGTCTTGCAACTTGAGTTGCTGTTCAGGGCTTGCAGGTAAGCTGGGGAAACATTCGGCTGTCAAGCTCAGGTCAGCAAGGAAGTGGTAGAGCTCGTACGTTGCATCGTGTACTGGTTTCCAGGCGAGTCTTGTGGGGACCTGAGTTGGAAACCTGCTCCGCTGCCGAGCGGAGTGCGAGTTCTCAATTCATCAGAGTTCTCAAAGTTTCTCAGCGAGAAAGCAGCTGCAATGCTACAAGGTTGGAGCTTGCTGGCGGTACATCTGGAACCAAGCTTTACTTGGGCCGCATTTGTTTCATTGTGCTTTTCTCAGCTTGTGAAGCTGGGTGCAGATGCTTCATTCCAGAAATGGACAACTGAGAAGGTGAGTGGAGGGGCGATGTGGCTGGCGTTGCGCGTGCTTCTTCTGGTCGGAGATGAAACACTGGTGCTCCGCACAGAGTTGCAGATGCACATTCATGGAGTTTTGATGGATCAGTAAGGTAGTTGGGACGGAGGAGTTAGATACTGTCGGCATCGATGGTTCGAATAGTGCTATTAACACAACTTGTTCAGGCAACAGAATTGTTCGAGCTCGATATGTGAAGCTCCCGGAGTCTTGAAAAAAGCTCGAGGTTCTGTACTTGATGTCATAGATATTTCAATCGTTTTTGTATGCAGACTTAATTGTGCTTCCCCCTCTCTGATGGCCAGAGAGTCTTGTATCTGTGGTCCACATCGTGACAACGTATTGTGAGCCGCGAGGTGTAGCTTTGGCCTCCGGTCTCCAGTCTCTATTCTCTATTCCGAACTATTCCCTTTCCGCTTCTGTTTCTTTCGGTGTCACAACTGCTTCACCGAGCTTTTTGCATTTTGGCTTCTGTTTCGCTGCCTTCACCAACGGTGCCTGCTTCTTGCCTGAAAGCCCCATGTGATCAAAGCCACGTGATCCGGAGCCCTGCTTGTCGCCATCGGCCCCGTCTGGGTCACCAACCTGCGTGCGACATCGTGCGACGGTGCTCGAGGCACGCTATGTGACCAGTGCGATTTGTTCATCAGATAATCAGATCGATAGATGCGATGCATTTCGATGCCCATCCGACCGCCGTGTCTGCCAGCCTCTCCCTTGCTGGCTTTCGCGGAGCAGGTCCTCCCTCAGGCCCGTGGCTGCCTGACCTGTGGCGGATTCTCGCGGCTGGACGAAGGCAACCAACTGCAGTCCAGGTCGCCCAGGCTGCTTTCCCAAAAGGAAGACCCGCAAACTCTAGCTTGAATCTTACTCGTGAGAGCCCTGCTGACGACCGCCAAATGCCGGAAGGCGGGTCATTGTGCGCATGCTATCCTGACAGCCTGGGAGCCATTGCGTGATTCCGGGCCTCGCTCGCCTCGTTGGCCTCGCTGGCCTCGCTGGCCTCGCTCCTCCGCTTTTCACTTCGGCACCAAGCGCCTTCACGACTCGGAGTTGTCAACAGCTCATCAGCCCACGTCAGGTCAGTATAGCAGCACCTTGATCAGCTGCGAACTGTTTCCACAGATACTATCAGGTTACTGTCACTTCTTCCAGCCTGTGCCATGCCATGCCCTGGGACCCGAAACTCCGGCTCCGGATGCAGCTTTGGTGCCTGTCGTCTCGGGGCCCCTTGGCTCACACAGACCCGCACAGCGACACATTGCTCTGAGGACAGCTTGTCTTGTGAATGCGCTCGCCGGAGGTGTTTTGCCATTCTCATGTCTGGCCGATGCCGAATTCCTCGGCTCCATTTGCCTTTGCTGGGATCCGGGCATCGCTAGGAGAGGGGGAGCTAACCGTGGCTGGCAAGGAAATTGTTTTGCTTTGGGGCTACGGCGCACCCCGCTCTTGTGGCAAGCGCGGATGCTCGCTTGATTCCCTGCGAGACACTTTGAAATTTTCTGGTTGCACAGAGGCGTTAATGCAAGATATGCAAGAATCTGCGAGACTTTGCTGGCTCTGTGAGAAGATGGAACGAGCTGAACTTCAGCTTCATCCGCCTTCTTGCGACTGGGTGTGCCAGCACATCACTGTCCAGTATCCCGAAGCGATCTGATTTGTGCAAGTGCAACTTTCAGGGAGGGCCAACACAACATTCCTTCTTGTTTGTGTTTACATTTTTTTGCGCCAGTTCTGAATGCGGGCAGCTGGTAGCAGCGAGGTAGCAGTGGTGATATGCAGGCCGTGAGGCAATCGTTTTTTTGTTGTGATGGCAGTCTTTTGTGTTCTTATTCCCCGTGCGACAACGAATTGGCATGCAGTATTGGGAATGGTAGCCACTAATTAGAGCAAGGGGGCAATTTTCCTGCACATGCAGGAGGCGGGACAGCAGCCAGGACAGCAGGTGGTTAACGAATGGCAGCCAGGACAGCAACCATCACAGCCATGTCAAGCAGGGCCTTGTGCCGGAACACGGCTTTAGCAAGTGGTCAAGTTCTCGGTGCATCTTGCGATGTACAGACAAAGCTCTCAACCCGTTATGCTGTTGAAGTCGAATGCGGTGATGGCAGCGGTCAGGGTGACAAGTGCTGGATTCCAGTCGAATTTGTAACGCGTGGCATACGGGTTCTAGGGGTTGCAAGCTGTGTGTGCACATGGGTACTGAAAGTGCAAGAGTGTAGAATTCAAAGATGTTTCCGGCTGCCGCAAATGCCTCTGGTGCAGTTACTCGTCATCTGTGTTATATTGGCATGTCGGCATGATGCGGGCATTGATGATGTTTCATAGATGTCATGAAGGTGCTAACATGCTTCATCATCCTGCTATTTGTGGCCTACTGCGCAGCTGGCCTGGCTGCGTGAACATCTCAGAACTCAGTGGTGTAATGACAGAGGGTTACAAAGGTTATCAAATGTTACAAAGGTAAAGGGAGAATGTGCTCGCAACGTAGCAGGCTCGAGCCTCGCCGAAGCCTTCCCGGGCATCTTGTGCAGTGGCTTTGCACTGGCTGGGGTGCCAGAGAAGCGCTGCTTCAGGCTCATTCAGACATTCATGGAAACCGTTGTTGCCTGTCACTCTGTTGCTCTCGTTTGTGTCCGACCCTGAACCTGCATATGCTGCTCGTCAAGTCGGCCCACGTGTTCGATGGCCGAAAATTGAAACCACTTCCGGAACCAAACCCGGTGATCACCAAGCAACATGGCATGTTGTTCCACCGTGTTAACGTTCATGCCCACGTGGGCTTAGCTCGACGAGTTTCGACGAGGTGGTTCAGAATGTTGCCCGCGGTGTTTTGGCGTTCATCACTCGTACGCTGGCTCTGTTCGCACTTGCTAAGTAGGAGAAACACCCACATGACGGTGCCCAACCGCCGTGTGCCGCCATCGGACATTGTGTAAAGGGACTCTGAGACAGATCCGTAAGACGTCGGGAAATTCAACGCTCGGAACAGCGTCTCTGAGCGTACAGGACTGTACGAAGCTCTGCCAAAAAACTGTGTTCAGGTTTGGCCCTTAGACATTTCTAGATGAGCATCTGGATGGGGGCACTCGCACGTATTCTTGCAGAGCACAAAACTTTGGTCATGGCTAGAAGCTCCTCCATGCCCGAGCTTTGTTTCTGAGGACCAAATCCTTGTGAAACCGGCAGTTGCACACAACAAGAACGACGATGCCACTTTCACGTGTCACAACATGCGCTCTGTAATGCTCTGAACCCTGTGTGGATCGCAGGGCCCTTTGAAGATCCTGGGTGGTTTGCTCATGCTTCCCTTTGCTGCCTCCGTCCGGCGGGCACTGTTGCTTGAGCATTGTAACAGACTGTAACATATGCAACGGAAGGGTCAAGCTGCACCACACGGCAGGTCATTGCCGCACAGATTTGGTTACGGACGATCTCCTTCATTGTATGGTTGGCAGATGTCTTGGTTTTTGCGATGTTCACAATACACTTTCCAGCATTGCTCCAGCCTGTTGCATTATTTGACTCTTGAGGCTGTCGCTTGTCCATGCTGCCGTCTACAGAGAGCAGACAATGTGTTCGATGCTTTTGAGAGGGAGCTGGCCATACCCCTTCTTCAATGCTCGTTTCTGGCATTTTCGTGTACATTGGCAGGACTTGCCCCGGCCTGAATTTCCCATCAGCTTGCTATCAGCTTGCTTGCGCGAGCATTCTGCCATGAGATTGTTGAGGCCTTAGAGGGGGAGCTCTCGAGCTTTCAGCGCATGTCTGTTGGCATTGCAGCAACTTACTATACCGTCATGCTGCTCATCTGGACAGCACCGGCGGTTCTGCAAGCCAAGGCAGGACGTGTCCAGGTGAATTGAGAGCAGTTGCAACATCAGTGATCATCAGGTTGCTGCTGAGGAAGTCTATGACGCCAATTCCTTGTTGGCCACCCAGTGGAGCAAAGTTTCAAAGTATCACTTTTGCAAAGTGCAAATCACTGTTACGGCCTCTTTTGCCATTCAGTTTGGATTTATCTTAATATGAACATATTCACCGGGTTTAGGGTTTAGGGTTTAGGGCTTTAGGTTCTGTTAAGGCTTTGCAAGATGTTTTAAGGCTTTTTGTTTCGGTGTTTGTTAGGGTTTTGAGGGAGCTTTCAGGGTGTGCAGGTTTGATGGGTCAGTGGGCTCATATGGTTGAGGGGCCAGTTCACGATCAACCGCAGTTTCAAGGTCAACCCCCTTAACCCCCAAGTCTGGTCCTCATTTTCCACAAGGTGCGCGCTTTCCTGGTCCAGGTAGGACATCTGGATATTTGTTTCATTTACCTGGAATCCTAAACCCTAAACCCGAAACCCTAAACCCTAAATCCTGGGCCCTAAGCCCTAAGCCCTAAACCCTAAACCCTAAACCCTAAACCCTAAACCCTAAACTCTAAACTCTAAGCCCTAAACCCTAAACCCTAAACCCTAACCCCTAAACCTTAAACCCTAGTTGGGGAGTTGCTTTCAGGGCGGTTGATTTAAGAGGCCAACCCAGTCTTGATGTCTGACGGAGCCCTAAGCCCTAAGCCCTAAACCCGAAACCCGAAAGCCTAAACCCTAGACCCTGCAACTCAAAGCCTTCAACTCCGGAGCATTGAGGGGTTTAGCGTTTAGGGGCTGGGATGTTCCCCCTTGTAAGGATTGTTAGTTTAAGGGGGAACCTCCCAAGTTTAGGGTGTAGTATCGGAGCCCGGGAATCAAGAATCAAGACTCCTGGAAACTTGGTTCTGTGGCCACTTTGTTGAAACAAATGTCTTTAGAACAGTTTAAAGTTTATCAGCCCAGAGGCAGAAAAAATAGAACCACGAGTTCCGGGCATCACAGTTCTTTTTTCCGGGTTCTAGAGACCGTCAGCAGAAACACTTTCGCCTTTATTATGTTTGCACCGTCTCCACAAAGGCTTCAGAACCTATGTACCTGTAGACTATAGGTAAGTATGTGTGCATGTATGTTTGTATTTATGCATTTCTGTATATATGCTGTATAGCTATATATATGTGTTTATGTATATGTGTATATATGTATGAGAGAGGAACCTAACTTCTTTGTTTTCTTTATCCTAAAAAAAGTCATTCTTTTATTCTTTTATTCTGAGGTTCACAACAGAATGCAAGAACAAACGATTTGAATTCTTTCTCTATTATTCTTTTGGTCGCTGGGTCTGGAGGCAGCCCAAGTACGTCGCGTTGAAGACACACAAACTGCCCGGCGGGAAGAAGGTCATGGTGAAGGCTGGTACGCAGGTGATCGATCGGGCCTGGAAAGTTTTAAAGGAGCGTGTGAAGATCAATCAAAACTGCAAAACATGTAGGCCAAGGTTAGGTCACAATTGCGTCGAAGCCGTAGAGGTTACCTGGGTACCCGGCAAAACACCGGCGACGAAGGCTCATATTTACAAAGTGGGAGGGGGATATAATATGTACGCATATGTACACATAAATATCATATATGTAAATGGTACTACTTTTAACGTAATGAAAGCATTGCCTTAAGCCTAGGCCTTGGGGTATTGGGTTTACTGTTGGGGGGGGGGGGGGGCAGGTCCTGTGGCGAGCGCAAGGGTCCAGACACTGAGCCCAAAACCCTAACCTTAAAGGGTCCAGCTAGTGTACCGTACCACGACGTATACTGTTTTCAGAGCGTGGCTTAGAACTAAAGTGCATCAAACTCTCAGACAGGGTGTGTGAGTTTACACAGCTCAGCTATACGTTTTCGCGTAATGTGTTTGACGTATAGTAACAACATAGGAGCCGCTGCACCATGGCCAAAAGGCAAACTGACCCCCATCGGTGCCGTCACAAAGAAGCGTGTAGACGGAACGTTCTGTCAGACAGCGCCAATAGGGTCTTTCAGGCGCCGCGCAGTCCACGTTCCGGTCGTGGTACTTCCGCCGCGCTCTCCCTCCCAAGCAGTCCCTAACCTACAAGTTCCTCGAGTCCCTCTTCCTCGCAAAGGCCACGCAGTTCTTGTCCTTTCAGTGCCTCTTCCTGTGGGCCGACTTCCTCGCGAAGACCAAGCAGTTCTTGTTCCTTCAGTGTCTCTTCCTGCGGGCCGACCTCCTCGCGAAGACGGAACAATGCTTGTTCCTCCAGTCCCTCTTCATGCAGTCCCTCTTCCTGTGGGCCAACTTAGAGAAGACCGAGCAGTGCTTGTTCCTCCAGTGCTTCTCTTCCTCTGGGCCAACCTCCTCGAAGACCAAGCAGTTCTTGTTCCTCCAGCGTCTCTTCCTGTTAACAACCTCCTCGCGAAGACTCCTAGTGAGCCGTCTCATTCAAGTTCAGCTATGCCCAGTGAGCCATCGCATCCGCCTTCGTTCGGAACTCTGACGCAGCACGCGAACGTGATCATCACAGTATGGGGGTACGCTATGACTGCAGCGCCGCCCGACGTGGAGTACGTTATAATTGCCAGGTGCTTTCATGATCCAGCTACAATGGCAGTGCCCCGTGCCGACCAGGGCTAGGAGGGACGTTCAAACCAAGGCTTGCAGGGGGCGGGGGCGGGGGGTGGGGCAAGGCAAGGACAAATAGACAACGAAGAAGAATAAGAAGAAGAGCAAGAGCAAGGAGAAGAAAAAAACGCACGCGCGCGCAGCCTGGGATGAGAGTTTTGGCTTCTACGATTTCTGTCTTTTCTTATTTTGCATATGTGCTGTGCTAAATACGCTGTCAAGCACCTCTTACGCATTTTATGTTTCATGTATTTTCAACATATTCTCATGCACATTAAAACTTTACATACCCGACTACTCTTATCAGGATCTACATTTGTTCATAGTTTCCTACAAGTTTTTCAAATTACGATGCAATTTTATAGGTTTTACACATGTTTACTTCTGAGATTCGTTTGTAGAATACATTTTTCACATGTGTATAATATGTATATATATATATATATCTATCTTCCAAGTATTTTTTGTACATGTTTTTGCACATTTTAAATTTTGCACATTTGTTATCCGACATCCTCCAAATGCATGCATTTGATTTTGAATGCTTTGTATCGAATTTATCATATTCGGCAAATTATGTAATTCCCAATATGCAGTACTTAGTAGTTTTATTGGGATACAGAATAGTACAACATGCATTCCTGTAAATATTTGTATTTAGCATTTACATTTTTAATCGCTAACATATGGCATACAATGCTTATTATTCTACTACAGCTTTTTATAACACAAGATACGTGATGCTTTTTTCGGCTTAACATATAATGTGCAGTAATTGGTTTTAGAATATTATGGTATATATACATATGCAGTAACTGTTATTGATTGTATAATCCGCAACATATGGTCTATAAGTTGATGCAATGCAAGATTGTATGTTATATATATATATATGTTATATATACATATGTATATATATATATATCTGTAAATAAATAAATAAGTATAAATAAATAAAATAAATAAATACATAAATAAATAAATATAAATATATATATATATATATATATATATATTTATACTTATATTTGAATAACTTTGCATATTAACTGTTGTATAGTACATGCTGTAGAGTATAAGTATACATATATATATATATATGATATTATGTTTGTTTGTTTCCTGGTGCTCGATACGGCAATTATGTTAGGAGCTTGTCTCGAAAATTGGCAGTTGTAGTATGAGCATAGAAATTTGCATCAGTTCCCACGCGCAATGATTTTCTGGAGAGAGTTTTTATGTCCGTGGATCCAAGGACAGGGGGCCAGTTGGGATCGTTAATCCGCTATTGTGGTAGGCAAAACGGCACATGGGAAGGAGAAAAACCCGGAGATGAAGCCGACGTATGCGGATTCTGAACTGGTTTCGAAATAGGACCCAAAACTCGGGGTGCAGTCAAGGCTTGGAGAGGAAGGTTCTGCACAGCTTTTGCAGTCCTGGCCTGAATCAACATGTGAAGATGCCACAACTGCACGCAGCAGTTCACACATGTCATCTGAGGCGAACTGGAGACGGAGAGGTGGAGCTTGAGGCGCGCCGAGAATCAGTCAGGGTCCAGGGCAACAACAATAAAGAGAAACCATTTAGGTTTGAGTGGCGTGATTGCGGTTACATCAGTTTCGATGAAATAGTTATCTGAGCTTCTGTTGAAGTTGGGTTGTGTTCATGACGAAGGACACGTAGAAGTCGGGGAGCAGAAGCAAATCGCAAATGAGTTCGTTTGTACCGAAGTCGATTGTGATTAACACAAACATGTCTCTTACACTTGCCTTCAAAACTTGTAGGCATTAATTACAATGTTGAGATGCTCTGCATTCTGTAGAATGCGGCACGCATCGACGTCTGCTGGCCAATGGGTGCTCTGGTAATATGGACGTTATGATAATGCAGGCATGGGTGCTTTGGCCAACGGTTGCTTTGGCAACATTGACGCTGTGATTGTGCGGGATTCGCACCCAGTGGTAGCGTGGACTTTCTTATCGTGCGGGCATGGATGCTTTGGCGACAGGACACGATCATGGATACGGCTGCAACAGTATAATAGTATAACCTGTATTTGGCTTATCTAAACGAGTCACAATGCAGGGGAAGTCAGTCGTTCCAGACTCGATGACAAGTTATCCCTCAAATCTGGTTCTAGGATTGTGGTCTTACTAAAAACCGTGCGCGAACGAATGAGAATGAAACAGCACACCAAAAATGTGGTAACGGCGAGCCCCGCGACCGCAGGGTGGCAGCGCAACCAGATTCAAGCACATGTTATGAAGATGCGCATTTTCTTGGAGTTTTTGAGGATTTGCTATCTTGAGGAGCGCGTGTGCACTGCAGGAAAGTACTGTTTTTTACCACTGCTTCCAGCTGTGAGGTGAATAAAGCCATGGCAG